GTGAGGAAACGTGGCGACATGGAACCTGATACGCATGTTGCTTGACTGTTCCTCTGAAAGCTTTGGGGCCCTGGGACGGGGCCGGTTTCGGGTTTGAGCCATTTGAAGATGATTCGGATGTTGATTGGCAGGTGGCACCACCAACCTCGAATCTGTGTGAGTTGGCCTGGCAGTTCTAAGTTAAATGCATGTTGGTTGTTCGGCCGGGTTCTATGTTAGTGACTTTTCCTCTCTTTTTGTTTGCGCGCCCCATCACTACATCCTGCAGGGAGTTTCACTAAACAAGAAAATGGCTTCAGCTTCGAGAGTTTGTAGGGGTGGATCACGGCCTCCTCTTTTGCACGAGACGTAGAATGCGCATGCCGGATTTCGGCTCAAGCAATACAGGTGTATTTTTTTTTCGTGGTGTACGAAGATGTGGCTGATTTGTGTATGATATTGACAACATTGCACACGTTCTTTTTCACAAACATATATTGACATATAGATGCACCCGTGGGTTTTTCTCTCGGGTCTTGGGCTTCAAATTTTGCCTCGGGGGCCGCAGTGGAGATGGCGGGCCCAGTGCGGGGCCGTGTGGGGCAGAGGCTGCAGGAGACCCTGCTGCGGTATGGGCAGGCCGGGGGACCGGCGGAAGTGAAGCGAGTCTAGAAGTGCAAGACCTGAAGCAGGTCAATGGCCGTGGTGGTCCAAAGCCGTTTTGGTTGATCCCATGTTTGGTTGGATTGGGTGAATTCACCACCCCATGTTAGGTTACCTATTTTAGTGGTTGGATTGGGTCCCGTTCACTGGGGGTGCGGGGTTTTGACCCATGGCCAAATGACACAGACTTGGGGCCTGTGCCTCTCCGGGCAACTGACACCATGGTTATGTTTGACAAGGGACCCGTGGGCAAAGGAATGTCGACCTGTGGGGCTGCACATTCAGCATCTGTACTGACTGATTCAAAGCCGGTGTTTTTCTGGAGACTCTTCTCCCCTATGGCTCCAAATCAGAATTGGGAGTTGAGTGGTGGGCTACTTTCAAGCTGCTGTATTGGCATAGACTGGTTCATGGCACTTGGGGAGGGGTCCATGTTTTGGATTATGCCAGGGTAGACCGAATCCCAGGGGCGAACTTCCCTTTGAAGCAGATCTTTGCACGGTCGGGACGGTTTGGTTGTGAAATTGGTTTGAATGAGCCGCAATCGGTCACCTGTACCAAGGAAACAAAGTGGTTTAGTGGTTTAGTGGTTTATTGTCATGCTCAAACAAGCGCTTGAGTTTCCCTTTGGTCGCTTGCGTCCAGTCTCATATTTTTTTCTCCGTTTTGTGTTTTGGATTTGTGGTTTGTGGATTTGAACCCTGTTGTCCTTGAGGGAAAACGGAAATGAGACTCAAGCTGGAAGCTGACTGGGGGTTGTCGCGGGTGGGTTGTGTTGCGTTGGTCGTCCAGGTCTATCACCCCCACCTTACTGTGGATGGACGAAATCCTGCAGCACTTCGAAAGCATGGCAAACCAGTGCTTGTTGGTAATTACAGGTGAATCATCATTCCAGTGATTCTTGGGTGGTGCCAAATGGATTTCGTCCATCCAGAGTATGGAATTTGAGGGCCGTACTTTCTGGAATCCATCCCTTCCATTGTCACGGGTGCGCCTGTGGCCTAGCCTTTTTTTTCTTCTTCTTCTTCTCTTCATTCAAATCAAGGGAGGTGCAAAAGGAGGCAATTCGAAAAACCTGCCTGGGTTCTCAAAATCGTAGACCCCTTGTTGGACGGTGGTAAAAGTCAAAAAGAACACAGCAACCATTTGTAATATTCAAGGGCCCATTTAAGTTGTCATCTCCTTTACAGACATAAGGGAATGTCCAGAATAGTGCTATCTACTTGTTGTCAGTATCACCCGCATGTCTTGGTCCGGGTGTCTGTCTGTCTGGTCCGTCTGTCTGTCTGTGGGGCTGGTTCAAAGGGGAACGAAAAGGACCACCGAACTTTCTGGCTCGATTCCCTGGGCGAGTCAAACCTCCGCTTTTCGCGAGACCGAGATCCGGAGACCTAGCAAAAGGAAGGGCCAAGACCTGACAACAACATGTATATATATATATATATATATATATTATATGTATATACATATATATATATATATATATATATACATAGGCTATTATGGAAAAGAGCAACCTGAGTCGCTCTTTCGCATCAAATGGCGGTTGAAGCCGGTTGGTTTCCCGAGCCAAGGTGAAAAGGCATACCAACGTACTAACTACAAAAAAAGACAGAAAGGATAATGCAGGCCATGGATGGGGCCTTTCAACCATATGTTTTTTCTGACTGTGTTGAAGCGCCCCAGGCCTCATTCAGGTACGCCTTAATTGATTTGGCCATGGTTCAAAACCAATGGGATCCCATTTTGGGGTCGGTGAATTCACCACCCATTTTAGAACCTATTTTAGTGGGGATTGGGATGTTTACTGGGGGGACGGGGTTTTGACCCATGGCCATTTGGAAGTTTGAACCCCGCGCCTTATTATTCGAACCCCAAACCCTTTTTGAAGGAATGTGCTCGTTGGCTCCGTTCACCTCTTTCAAGGTCCAACCTTCAAACCATCCGAGTCACAATCCAACCAGGGTAGAGAAGGGTTAGCAAGGTATACCCCCAGCCAGAAATGGGTGCGGGGTTCTGGGTAGACCATCTTTCTTCCAGGTTTGAGTATGACCCATCCGGAAAAGAACCAAAAAACAGCACGCTTCCAGGTTTGAGAATGACTCATTCAAAATATATCAGCACGTTGACTGTATGACTCATCCGGAAAAAAAGTAAATGAAAACACGAGAGGTGGGCCTGGTAGTGCACTTCTGCCTGAGCAGCGTGAGCTTGGTGAGCTGTTTCTTCGCGGTGCGGCACCAGCTGCCCGTGGAGAAGTTGTTGGACTTTGTGGGCGCCAGCCCACAGGAGGGTCGAGTCGTTAGGGATCGGGAGGGCGGAGATGAGCGGCGCGGCCGTCTTTTTTTTTTTTTTTTAACACGCACCTCAAAAGGGAGTTGGCAAAGCAAGTAAACTCCCCTTCCCCAAAAAACACAAAAGAGAAAACACACAGCTTAAAAGCAAGATTGAAAAGAATAACTTCAACTCCATTTTTCTTTTTGGGTGTGATTGAATCCTAAGGAAAATAACCACAGCCATTGGTTGACCAGACAACTGAAGGAATCCATGGCAAGATGTGGTATCTGCTTTTTTTTTAATTGTCTGTTTAATTTTATTAAAAACTGGTTTTAATCTTTTTTTTGGGGGGGGGACTTACTTGCTTTGCCAACTCCAGAGTTGTTCCCCAGACCCTTATGCACACCCATGGATCGGTGGGGTGGGGGGTTGGTCAAAGAATTATTTAGTTGTTGGTTTCCCTTTTTGTTTCCTTCTTGTTTCCCTTGAAACCAACCCCAAGAAGGTGAATCAGCATTTGGACGGGTCTTTTTAGCTGGCGATGTCAATTTTCCTCGTGGTTTCCGTTAAAATGCCAGCACCACCAAGGGGTGTCCAACCCACAGAAAGCTTCGGCGCAGAGAAATCAGAAGGTTGAAGCTCTGGTTGAATGATTAAACATCAGGAAACCGCTAGGGTTCCTTGCCCCCATGAAAAGAGTGGCCCAACAAAAACACCCAATTTGGATGATGAAGCTCCTGAATGGTAAATACTGATACCATTGATTTGTATTAGTTTGTACTAGCCATTGATGATGTAATATTTGGACGATAAAACTCCACTGTTTTGAGTTTTGATGGTGGTATCTGAACTCCAGAAGATCCACTGGAGCCATTAGACCTGGGTCCTGGCTCGGCTCACCTTGTTTGAGATTTTGGGCAGTGGGACCATTTGGTGGGGTGCGTTGGCCACAAGTTCCCTAGAGGCCCGGTAAAGTACTCAAGCCGGGCCCATGTGGATTATTGCGCAATCCACAAGACGCACCACCGTTCAGAAACCCTGGATTGGTTCCCCTTAAACAGACAGGCTCAAAGCACCAGATTTACTTGAAATAACCTTTGTTTGGTTTCACGTAAAGATTGAGCATTGCTGGTTAATACTTCGGGAAAACCACCCAAACCTTTCACCGATTTCCCCGAACCCAAGCAATCCTGAATTCCAAGAGGCGGTTTTCCACACTTGCGCAATCAAGCTTTGCCTTGCTTGGGAAAGTTAACAAGCGTTGCAAATCATGCAGAACAAAGGGACCCAGCAATGGAAAGCTAAAGCTCTGGGGGGCTCTGGGGGGGGGGAGGAAGCCCTTCACCAGGCCTTAAATGAGCGTCCCCAAGAAACATGTCTGCCCACCCTCGATCCGATCGCAGCCCCGAAGCCATCTCAGAAATCTGCTGGCTTTGTTCTTTTTCTCGAAGATGAGGCCGCATGGCGCCAAAGCCGGGGATGATTCCATCGATCTGGGTGTCTCGGGTTACTTAAGGCCTTCTGGATAGCCACAGAAGGCATTCCTTGCGGCCCAACACCTGGGGGTCTGTGGCGGTTGGTCCAAACGTCCCCCGGCATCGAGCGGTCGGTGCCCTTGATCTTCCCCAGAATTGGCTCCCTTCTTTTGTTTCGCTTTTTTGGGGTCCCTCAGTTTCTCAGTTGCCCAAAGCCGACCTTTTAACCTTTTGGTTTTCCAATTTGGGTCTATCTTTAGAGGCTTTAAAAGGTGATCACCTTTTATTGGGTCCTTTGGGCGACTGAGGTTTTCCACCAGGCGAAAGAGATCTCATTTGCTGGGGTCCCTTTGGTCCCCCTTTGGATCGGCAGAACCACGACGACAGCTCGCTGGGCCTGGGCAGCAGCATGGTCATGGCCTTCGTTCTGCACAAGGCGCGGATTTCGCCACTTCTTCGATCTGGCGGCGAAAAAAATCCGCTTCCGCCAATCCGTTCAGAGTCCCCCGGGCAGTCGATTCCGGGGACCCTGGGGAGGGCAGGAGGTGGGGAGGTGGGGGAGGTGGGGGAGGTGGATTCCCGGCTTGGAAATAAGCCAAAAAGCGCCAAAGAGCGGCAAATTTACAGTTCGGTTTCCCTGGTCCCCCGATTCTTGCCGCTTTTTGGGGCACTGCCTTGGTGGACAGAGGGACAGAGTCCCGGGTTTGAGTTCCAGATAGACTCTTTACGTCTCCATGGCGCTTTCACTGGCCTGGGCGGCCAGGCTGCCAGCACCGGGCCCGGTGTCCCCCCCAGATTTTGTTGGCAACTATATTCAATCATTCAGCACCAATTTTTTGCCAGCATCATGATTTGTCTTGGCCAGCATGTTGTTTCAATCAGTCAGCACCACTGGCCAAAGGTTGGACAGCCAGAGTTTCTGGAATCGATGAAGGGGTCAAGACAAAACAGGACCCCCTGAAAAGTCGGATGGGTAGACTAAATGGGAATCGACACATTGTAGGAGTGGTAACATAAGGGGCCAAAGAACTACCAATCGTACTAAATTTGTTTTTAGTACCCCACACCCCCAATCTAGTTGGGCTTTGTATCCCTTTGCCAACTAGGGGGACAAGTACTCCGTGTGAGGGAACTACAACTTTAGGTACGACTCACATTCACGCAAATAGGTTGCAATCTCCACAGTGCACCGCCTCAAATGCTTCGTTTGCTGTTCAGTGGCATGAAGCTGCTTTTCCTTTAGCTGTTGAGTCGCATGGCAGGAAGGGTAGCACGGATGAACTTGGGTCTAAGACTGTCCACTCCTCATCCTTGCAAAGTCCTTGGACAAGCCCAGGTAGATGTGAGCATGATTCTTAACGAGGAATACTTTCCCAAGTGGTTGTTGGACATGAACCCCACTTAAACTTTGGTGCATTTTGCTTGGATGTTAGGACTTTAACTTTTTGCCAACTAGTGGGTTTCCCATTAAGCCACTAAGAGTTAAACTTTTGGCAGGGGAGCAGAAAGCAACCGAGCAAAGGATGTCCTTCCCTAGCGGCTCCATGTAGGATAAAGGACAATCCTTTCATAGGACCATATTAAACCGTTTGTAGGTCTGACAAACGCTTGGCCTAACATAAAGATTCAGCTCTTGGGGCCTTCTGGAAAGAAGATGAGCCAGGAGCAAATCGGTGGATGCCTTGCCAAGCATACACAAAACCACGGCGAACCGCCGGTAACTTCGAGCTTCCGGTTGCATCGGGGACCCTTTGCATCTTGGAAGACCCTTAAAACAAAGACCTCACCTGCCCAAAGCGAATCGACCTTTTGACCTTTTGGTTTTCCCTTTTTGGTCCACTTTTAGTCATAGCCCCAAAAGGTGAACCTTTTATTTCTGGGTCCTTGGGCAACTGAGAGACACCTTCCCATTTGTTCCTTCTGGCTATTTCAGGTGACCCCTTTATTTGGACAACGGCACATACATGGTTGTTGTTGGGAAACATTTTTCCCATTTTTGCTGATTGCGGTTTAGTGGTTGAAATCCAGCCACTTAACTGCTAAAATTTGAAAGCTTTTGCTCCCCTTTCAACGTCAAGCAAGCACAGGCGATCATGCCCCTCCGGGTGCCCGTGACCGTGGCCGTCACGCCGCTGGCCGCAAGCGTCTGGGCGCGCCTGAGCCGCGCCGCCCGATGACGTGAGATGAGCCAAATGAGAGCGCCGCGGGACGGAAGCGCCAGATTTTTTCCGCTGTGAACCCGCCGGAGGCGCCGCTACCCGCGAGTATGCGGCGGGTCAAAAATGGGGTAATCGCCCCACATGGGTTGCTTTGGGAAATGGAACCCAGGACCAGAACCTGCGGGTCAGAGGCTTCATTTTGACCCACCACCATTTGCGTTCCCCCCCCAAAAGATGCCGTTTTGGAAGGAAGCTGCTTAAAGGGGAGGGGGGTAGAAGCTGAAAACAGGCGGAGGAGCAGTTCTAAGATAAGACTTGGACAATGGCTGGCGCTACACATCATTGACCAAACATTCCTGGCACAGAGGGAGGAAACGGCCCCTGCATTTCATGAACTGTGCTGATTCGGAGCCATACTGTAGCCAGGGGAGCCATTGCAGCCAAATAGTGATTGACTATTAGTGCCTAATAGTCATCGTGTCTATTACGGGCCATAAGAGACCACTTTATTTTCACAGCTACTTTTGCAAAATGGAATCAGCAGCTCATTTTGCGTTTGGCTAGCAGAACCGGTAAATCAACAAATCACAACGTCGCCTCCCTCCGCGGGAGTGAACCCCCCTCCATTTTCCAGGCCCCGCAGGGCCGGTATTTTCCATTGCTCCAGGGGGCGAAGATCCAGCGGTAACCGACCGCGATGGGCCAAACGTGGCGGGCGGAGCAAACGGACTCCCTTGCAGACTGTCCTGGCCATGGACAAAAAAGGTGAAAGAGCGGCACGGCCTTTGTTGTCCTAGGCACGCTGCCCCTAACCATACTCGAACTGGGTCCCCCAGTAGTGCCCTTTCACCCTTTTTAGGGGAAGGGTTCCCCTACCAAAAGAGGCTAAAGAAGAAAGGGTACTGGAGGACCTGGCAAAGGAAGGAGAGCTGACGATGGGCGCCAGCTGGGCTGTCGCTGGCAAGCCATGCGAGTGGAGCCAAGTATCACACAGGACTTTGATCCTAGAATGATCGATGTCTTTGAGCAATCCGCGAGCTTCTACTTCTATCTGGGGTTGCCGCAGGTTTCGATTTGAGCTCACCTCCCCGTCCCCGTGCCCAACAACAACAACCCCCCCCTCCCCCCCTCCCTCCCTCCCCCCTCCCCCCTCCCCCCTCCTCCCCTCCCCCCCTCCTCCTCCCCCCCTCCCCTCCTCCCCCCTCCCCTCCTCACCCCCGTGCAAGACGCCGACCTCGGCCATGGCTCGCGTATGGATCTCGCCTTTGAGCGCGGGTTTCAGAGAGCAGCGGAGGCCGCCGGCGCTGAGGCCGGCGGAGAGCACGGGTCTCGCTGGGACCGGCTGGTTTTCGGTGGTTTCGCTTGGAGGCTTACTTCCATTTGGTGAAATGAATATTTTTTATTTGCCCCTGCTGGTTTGAAAGGAAATCTATCACTACTTGAAGTATTTGTATTTCATTTCCAGGGGACTTAAGCAAATGGAGGCTTAGGGATCAGAGGTGTCCTTAGGTGAGTTTGGGCAATGACATAGATGGTTTCCACGGGTTTTTGATTGGTTTTATTAAAACGATTTACCAGGTAGCACAACCATCTATTTTGCCAGGAGACCTATGGGTAGGATTCGTCTAGGGCTTGAGTTCCCTAAGAATTCAGCCATCCTTCTTTCCGAACACCTGTTTTTGTTCCCTTGGATAAGGATTTGTGGAAAGAATGGGGAAGCTTCCCTAGGATCATATGGCTGTGTCTCAAAAAATCCGGTACCAAAATGGATCCCTGGCAAGTGGAAACATGGACCAAAACCTGCGGTTTGGTTCTTCTGGTTAATTTTGAGCCGGGCACGTTGCGAGTTGCTCTTGAGGGCAAATGGTAAAAGTCCCCAACCAGTCCAAGAATTCCGCCTGGAACCTGAAACAACCCAAGCTAGAAATGGTGGTTTCAACCAAATGGCCGTATTTTCCATCAAGAAACATGGTTGTTTGGGAAACCAACTGGTTAAGTTGCAGGTTCCAGTTGAACCCAGTTCTGGGATGGACCGGACGTTCCGCAAGCTTCTGGACTAGACCTTCTCAAAGCTGGTGGACTCTCCTCGGCCTTGTGAAGGTCCATTTTGTTTGTTTGAAGGTCGATCGAGGCGATGTCGGTAGGTCCAAAACCGGCGGTTGTTTTTCTCTGTGGGCAGACATAAGCACCATGGCCCAAGCTTCATGGAACCCAAGAAGAGATTCCGGTCCATCTGGCGTCCTTGATCCTTTTTTGGTGGTAAAGGAACACCAGTCTGGGGAAGCCCGATTTCGGAAAGCCGCTAAGCTCTTGGGCGGAGGATTCGGAGGCTGCGCTGCTGCGGCTGCTGCCCAACAAGGAGCTGCCTGAGATTGGGGGGGGTAGTGGTAGTAGTGGTGGTGGTGGTGGTGAGTGCGAAGTGCTCCTTTACATGCAGAGTGCCGCAGATCCAGTTGCCCCATGGGTGCGGCGTTGTTTTGCAGCAAGCAGGCTGACAAGCAAATTGTGGAGGGTTGTCAACACGCAACCTAACCGTTTGCAGTTTTCGTGCAAACAAACATCTAGTAAGCCCAGTTGGTACTGTACCACCTAAACTGGCCCTTCCCGAGTGGAAGGACTTGCGAAAAAGGAGTAAGTCTTGGGAACAGGTTCAGCGCTTGTACGGTGACACACGCGCAGGAAAGGGCACAAACAGAGCACCACTGCTAAAAAAAGACACCAAAGGATTGAATGGTAGCCACAAACATGTGTGACGCAACCACCTTGAAAGATCGGGCAGGATGAATCATCGATGATCAATGAGGGTTTTGTTTTCGGGTGGTGGAAATAATTCATTTCGGGATTCCTGTTGCGGTTAGTACTTTTTGCCAGATTAAGCTGAAGTTCAAGTTCATTTGAAGCCCCAACCCATAAACCCGGCGGATTTGTTCGGGGAACGATGATCCAGCCTTGGTTCCCGGCTGGGTTCCATTGAACCCAACTTGCAGTGAAGCTTCTGGGCAAACATTAACGAATTGGCTGACAGCACATCTGCAGGTGGCCGACTTGACACCAGTTCGCCGTTCTCTCCCTTCGCCCGGTTCGGAAAGGGGAACCCCAGTCGACCCAAGGCAACATTGGCCGTGTTGTTGCTCCCACTCCATGTCCTCTTTGCATTTGAAGATCTCCTCGCTAAAGCCACCTTTGCTGACATGGCCATGATTTTTTGATAACAGGGAACCACCTCCCAGAGTGGTTGTTGGACATCAATCCCCCCCTGAGTGATGTATATAGAGGTCCCCTAACCGTTTTGTCACCCCAGCAAATTTGGAGGTTTGGGGCCCAGGAAGCACGTCTGCCGGGGATGACTCCCGAAAAAAAGAAAAAAAGATAACCAAACAAAAAACGAGCGGATTCCAAGAGATGGCAGCATAGCATGAGACGCGGGGATGGGGGCAACTCGATCCACAATCCAGCTGGACACAATCACGTACGCAACAGACCTTTTGAACCGCGCTGCTGGTGGTGGTGGTGGTGGTGGTGGTGGTGGTGGTGGTGGTGGTGGTGATAGGTTGTTTGCCTCGCCATAGCCGCATATGAGCAGTCGACTCCGGCATGGACTGCATAGACAGCGTGGGGCAACTCGCCATGGATTGTATGGAAGGTTTCAGCTCTTTCCTGAAATCCTATGCTTGTCAACGGCCCCTCAACAGGGGCCCCCCCAATCCAAACAGGACTGCGGATGGATGAAATCCATTTCGCACCACCCGAGAACCCCTGAAATGATGATCCCCCCGTAAATACCAACAAACGTAGGTTTTCCACGGTTTCAAGGTGGTGCGAATTGGATTTCGTCCATCCACAGTAGGACCCGTTGCTCTTGTGGGGCCCCTTACAACCACGGGATGAAAGGGTGGCTCTGAACATCAACATTCGATGATCACCCCAACAGGGGAGTCCCCGGGTTTAGTGGGCAATCAGCCGGAAGCAGACCATTCTTGGAGGGACCACCCCCCCGGAATCAGACCATTTTTGGAGGGACCCCCCCCTACTAATGGGACTTGTTTGTCAATCCGGGGTCGGGTGTTTTCAGGGCGGCGCCTGGAAGTTCGCCTGGAAGCTCTCGAGAGAAGTGGGAAGGATGCGGGGAAGGGTTCAGGTAGCAACTGGTGATTGGTTTGGGGAATTGAAGCCGTTCTTGTTGAAGGTAAACGGAAAACCGGATTCGGGTCCAAACCACCAATTAATAATTTACAGGGAAGCGAGATGGAAACCCATCACGAAGGAGTTATCCTTTGGTAAGGCCCAAAATGGATTCCTGGTGAAAGTGGAACTCCGGAGCAAATGCCCCGAACTTTGCAAAGTGAGTCTTTTGCTGGGTTACTTGCAACAACCCCGGGGGCTTGCTGGGCAGCCAACAAAAATTCGGGTGTTTCTGTGGGGCAGAAGTGGCGGCAAGGACTGGGTGCCTTTTGGCAAGGCCCGGTTCGGCATCTCGTTTTCGGGGGGAGAAAGAGCTCAGGGCCAGTCCGGAAATGCAACGTGCATGTCCAGGTGAACATCTCTCTCACCTGTTTTTGGTTGCAAACAAAAGCCCTTGGTTGAAGACTGTTTGGAAGCATCTGACCCCTTTTGTTGGTGAATCTTTGCTTGTACCCCAAAGATGAGATGGAAGTTGGCAAGTTTTTCGGTTGCGTTCCAGCATCATATTGGGCATCATATTGTTGGTGAAGCAAAGTGAAGGCGTTCGTTTCTTAGCCATTCTAAAAGCATTGAATTTCATTGTGAGCGTCAGCGTCATCTTTGCCAGTAGATTACGAGGGTCATTTTGGCTTGCTGACGATCAGCATCGAAAGGCTGAGGGGTAGCGTTCGGGGAGACAGGCTCAAGTCTGTCCGGCCCGCAGTCTGCGCGCATTTGGCTTTTTTTCAATCCCAACCCCCCCAACATGTGTCCTAAAGGGACAGCAGCGATGGGATTTTTTTCCGACAGGAATCTCGCAGACAGGCCCGGCCCTTGGTGCGGTGCAAAGTGATCTCATACCTTCAGAGGGGGGCGTTCGAGGTTCGATCCTGCCGCTGGCTTTGTTTGGGTCAGCGTTTGGGACCATCGGAGACATCATAGACTAAGAACTGACTAAAGCTATGAAAGTAAATTGCAAGAAACCGCTTGAACGTAACTATGAAGATTCTTTTCATTCCTGGAATTAGCTGTCATCTCTTGAGAGTGAAGGATGTAAACATCCAAGCGTTTTTTTCTTCTTCTTTTTATGTATGTATATATATATATATATACAAACATAGTTTGTCTCTTCACGTGGCCCAAAACTGAGGGGCCAGGCCCGAAGAACGCGCTCTTCGCCCGAGCGGGCCAGGCCATGGGCACGAAGCCGGCGTCGACTGGGGCCTTCGGAGGTGGCGCCGAAGGCGCGGCGGCCTTCTACCTGCGGCTCGGTGAAGCTGACCCGGGACCTGGGCAAAAAAATCCATGGCAAACCATACTACATCCCCATAGCAGTGCCCTTTCTCTCACCCCTTTTTTGGGTTGGGGTTTTGGGGTTTTGGGAGGGTTCCCCTACTAAAGTAGACAAAACCGGAAAAAGATCGGGTACCAACTTCTTCTAACCTCTCAAGTCTGGAGGGCCTAGCATGGGTTCCCAAAGATGCAACTTTCACCTGACTTCAAGTTCATTGGTGGCTTGGTTTAGGGGTAATCTGAGCGTTGAAAGAATGGCAACCAAGAAAACCACCCAGTTTGGGTGACAATCCCTGGGTGGTCTGAGCCACCATTGGTTTCATGGCTTGACTCCCGTGGCTTAGTTGTGGTTGCCCGGACGAAAAGGGGGGAAGGGGCAGCATGTCTCGTAGGGCTCGTTTTTTTTTTTTTTTTGGGGGGGGTAAAAGATAGAGGAAGAGGGATGGAGCTGGTTCGGTTGCGAAATGGTTCTATAGCTTTGCCTCCAGAGATCTCCAAAGCGGGAGCCTTGAGCAGGGATCCTTAAAAGAAATACATTTTGCAACCATTTGAAACATGGCTTTTCCCACCAAAATAAAGTTGGAAACCACCATTTATAAGTTGCAATGTTCAGGTGTTGTCATGTGAGGGGATCCCTGTTAAGTTTTCAGGGAGCCATGGCAGGTTTTGCGGAGCCGTGGCCGAGGCTCCCTCTCTCCTTGAAATTTTTCAAAAACGTTTCGATCAAATAAGAATTCCAGAAGCAACTTGTGGAGTCCCCCCTGTAAAAATGACAGCAGTAATTGTTACAGGTAAGAGTTTAAGTGACGATCAATGAAACAAAACAATTATAAGTTTTGGAGATTGGTTAACACATATAACTTCAAAAACTTGATCAAATGAACACATAAGTCATACACAACTTGATAAACTCGTGCGAATCGGTTCCGATCCGGTTCCGTCTTGTGGGTTGCTATGGGGTTTGGTGCCCAATAGTTTGGCGTGGCGGGGTGGGGGCGCCCCGTGGTGTTTTGGAGGTATTTGGTGGGCGTGCGTGGGGCTCACTCCCACGCTTTTGACAATCTCCCAATACCTCAGTATTTTGTTTGTTGTCAGGGTATGGCAGATGGATATTTTTGTTTCTTCATCCTTTTTTGGTGTGTTTTCTGATGATCACCACCAACAAAGGTGTTGGCATTTGGTGGGGGTTCTTGGAGACGTAACTCTCCGAAAAGGCGAACAACACGTTTTTCCGTGGCCCCTTTTTCGATTTGGAAGGTTTTGGTTTGGGTGGGGATTATTTGGGAATTGTCTGTGCGGGGTGCGCAGCGTGCATTTCGTGCAGTTGCTGGTGCACTTGTGGTTCCATGTGGCTGTGGGTCAAACATGGGTACCCAAAAGTAAATGGAAACGAGGACCAAAACCTGCGGTTCCCTGGTGGTTGATTTTGACCCATACCCATGTGGGCGTCCTTTTTTAGGGAACCCCCAAAATGAGTGGTTTGCCTTTTGGCTTCCCTCAAACAAAAGAAGAAGACCCATGTAGGGCTAGGGCGGGCTTCCGGCCGGGCTCGGGGTAGCGGCCGAGACAAGGGAAACTCGGATCGACGGCCACTGCATCGACGGGACTCGTACGTTCAGCCAGATCCGTTTCGATGTGAGGCCCGCGGGAAAACCTGTTGAAGCGGAATGACCTTTCGAAGGGTTTCATCTGAAGGTCTGAAGAATGGTTGCGGCACTGGCTCTGAAGTTCTGTCATTAGGGTGCTGGAGAGTTTGAACCGCCACGCCGCACAAGGTGGTTGTCACCGGGGAGAAAAAAGAAGCAAGGGGAAAGAAAAAAGACAAAAAAAGACCCAGAAGTGCGAGGTTGACCTTTTGCACGAGAGGCAGCTCCCACAAATGTCGCAATCCACTTTGCGGAATTGGCTATGATGGCTATGATGCTCCGCTCGATCGGCCATTCTCGAAGTCACCGATGAGAGACCAAAGACAAAAATGACATTACCCCTTGAAAGTACGCATGAACAAATCGTTTTTGGACGACAGTTTTGCTTTTGGAAGAGGGCCTGAGCACTTTCGCGTGGGAGGGCCAATTTCCGATTTGAGTCCACGGAGCTTGAGCGAACGACTTCCAGCCCCCCAAGGGGCAGCAAGTTTTCACTCGACTGCCACCTTTCCGAGGCTTTTTTTTGTTGTTGCTTCATTCTGGCAACTTGGGGCTGCAACAATTACGTGGCTGATTCCTTGTAATTCACCATGTCGAATCCATCCATTTTCCCCGCAAAGGGAATCACACTTCAACAAGTCTGCCGCGATCCCCACCAAAAAAAAACCACAGAAAAGCGCCTCATGAGCACGAGCCGAGCTGCCTGGCTCTGGTTGAGAGCTCGAGCCGAGGAAGCCGTCCTTGATGCCAGTGGTTGGCTCCTGCGACTGGGAGTGCCATCCTTTGTACCAGAAAGACCTGGCCTTTGTCAAGAAGGCCGCGGAAGAAACGGGCGGGGGCGGAGCCCGAAGCGCTTTCTTGGTTTTCGGTGGGGACTGTGTGTGTGTGTGTGGGCGTGTTGTTGAAGGTACTCCTCTTTCGAAGTTAGGGGGGAACCTCCTTGTAAAACTTAAGAAACATAGGCGAGTTTGTTGGCTTTGTTTGGGCCCAACTCGGAGAATCAAACACTGGTTCGTCTGCTTTTTCCTTCGACCTACGGAGGGTGGACAAGATCCGATCCGCACGAGTTGGGATGGATGAAGGTCTATGCGACAGACCATCGATCAAGTGCGAAGTGGCTTTTGTCATACACAGTATCACTTGGACTTATTTTTGGTCATGGTGGCAGCCTCTCTCGGGAGCAGATCATTTCTACAGGAACTTTGACAGATTGTTCACTCAATATCGAAGAGGTAGGGATTTGGCTTTCGTGGCTTTCCTGTCGCTGTTTCAGCTTTCCCCATAATATGTCTACCTCCGAAAACGGCAGCAGGAAAGGATATCTGCCAGCAGTCGGGGATGTCATCAGCACCGTTTTTTTTTTCCCCGTTTCCTGGTAACCAAACACTTCTTCTCCTGTTTTTTCACTCTTCTTTTTTTCCCAATCGATCTCTCCCGGCGTTCCTTGTCGTTTTTTTCTTCTCCTGTCGGACCGGGTCCCAACACTGCGCGCCGAACCCGTCGACGTCTCTCGCGTGAGGACGGGGCGCAGGAGGTGCGGATCAACAAGCAGATCTGCGGCTTGACTGCTGTGCAACGGAGCTTTCTTTAACTTTTGGGTTGAAATCAAGTTGTGTTTTCCACTAAACCCCCCCAAAAAGTCTTAAACTTTTTGGGTGTTTTCCACTAAACCCCCAAAAAGTCTTGAACTTTTTGGGTGTTTGCCACTAAACCCCCAAAAAGTCTTAAACTTTTTGGGTGTTTTCCACTAAACCCCCCAAAAAGTCTTAAACTTTTTGGGTGTTTTCCACTAACCCCCCAAAAGTCTTAAGGTGTTTTCCACTAAGCCCCCAAACAGTCTAAAACTTTTTGGGTGTTTTCCACTAAACCCCCAAAAAGTCTTAAACTTTTTGGGTGTTTTCCACTAAACCCCCCAAAAGTTGTAAGCTTTTTGTGTGTTTTCCACTAAACCCCCACAAAGTCTTAACCTTTTTGGGTGTTTTCCACTAACCCCCCAAAAAGTCTTAAACTTTTTGGGTGTTTTCCACTAAACCACCAAGACGTCTTAAACTTTTTGGGTGTTTTCCACTAAACCCCCAAAAAGTTGTAAGCTTTTTGGGTGTTTTCCACTAAACCCCCCAAAAGTTGTAAGCTTTTTGGGTGTTTTCCACTAAACCCCCAAACAGTCTTAAACTTTTTGGGTGTTTTCCACTAAACCCCCCAAAAGTTGTAAGCTTTTTGGGTGTTTTCCACTAAACCCACCAAAAAGTCTTAAACTTTTTGGGTGTTCTGCACTAAACCCCCAAAAAGTCTTAAACTTTTTGGGTGTTTTCCACTAAACCCCCAAAAAGTCTTAAACTTTTTGTGTGTTTTCCACTAAACCCCGCAAAAGTTGTAAGCTTTTTGGGTGTTTCCACTAAACCCCCAAAAAGTCTTATGTTTTTTTTGGTGTTTTCCACTAAACCCCCAAAAAGTCTTAAACCTTTTGGGTGTTTTCCACTAAACCCCCACAAAGTCGTCTTAAACTTTTTGGGTGTTTTCCACTAAACCCCCAAAACGTCTTAAACTTTTTGGGTGTTTTCCACTAAACCCCCGCAAAAGTTGTAAGCTTTTTGTGTGTTTTCCACTAAACCCCCAAAAAGTCTTAAATCTTTTTGGTGTTTGCCACTAAACCCCCAAAAAGTCTTAAACTTTTTGTGTGTTTTCCACTAAACCCCCACAAAGTCTTAACCTTTTTGGGTGTTTTCCACTAAACCCCCAAAAAGTCTTAAACTTTTTGGGTGTTTTCCACTAAACCACCAAAAAGTCTTAAACTCTTTGGGTGTTTTCCACTGAACCCCCAAAAAGTCTTAAGCTTTTTGGGTGTTTTCCACTAAACCCCGCAAAAGTTGTAAGCTTTTTGGGTGTTTTCCATTAAACCCCCCAAAAGTTGTAAGCTTTTTGGGTGTTTTCCACTAAACCCCCAAAAAGTCTTAAACTTTTTGGGTGTTTTCCACTAAACCCCCAAAAAGTTGTAAACTTTTTGGGTGTTTTCCACTAAACCCCCAAAAAGTCTTAAACTTTTTGGGTGTTTTCCACTAAACCCCCAAAAAGTCTTAAACTTTTTGGGTGTTTTCCACTAAACCACCAAAACGTCTTAACCTCTGTGGGTGTTGTCCACTGAACCCCCAAAAAGTCTTAAACTTTTTGGGTGTTTTCCATTAAACCCCCCAAAAGTTGTAAGCTTTTTGGGTGTTTTCCACTAAACCCCCAAAAAGTCTTAATTGTTCGGGGTGTTTTCCACTAAACCCCCAAAAAGTTGTAAACTTTTTGGGTGGTTAACTTTTTGGGTGTTCTCCACTAAACCCCCAAAACGTTTTAAACTTTTTGGGTGTTCTCCACTAAACCCCCGAAAAGTTAACTTTTTGGGTGTTCTCCACTATTTGGGTGTTCTCCACTAAACCCCCAAAACGTTTTAAACTTTTGGGTGTTCTCCACTGAACCCCCGAAAAGTTAAAACTTTTTGGGTGTTCTCCACTAAACTCCCGAAAAGTTAAAACTTTTTGGGTGTTCTGCACTAAACCCCCAAAAAGTCTTAAACTTTTTGGGTGTTTTCCACTAAACCCCCAAAAAGTCTTAAACTTTTTGGGTGTTTTCCACTAAACCCCCAAAAAGTTGTAAACTTTTTGGGTGTTTTCCACTGAACCCCCGAAAAGTTAAAACTTTTTGGGTGTTCTCCACTGAACCCCCGAAAAGTTAAAACTTTTTGGGTGTTCTCCACTAAACTCCCGAAAAGTTAAAACTTTTTGGGTGTTCTGCACTAAACCCCCAAAAAGTCTTAAACTTTTTGGGTGTTTTCCACTAAACACCCCCAAAATGTCTTAAAAAACTTTTTGGGTGGGTTTCCCACTAATCCCCCAAAAAAGTTGTAAATAATTTTTGGGTGGTCGTTTTCCACTGAACCCCCGAAAAGTTAAAACTTTTTGGGTGTTCTCCACTAAACTCCCGAAAAGTTAAAACTTTTTGGGTGTTCTGCACTAAACCCCCAAAAAGTCTTAAACTTTTTGGGTGTTTTCCACTAAACCCCCAAAAAGTCTTAAACTTTTTGGGTGTTTTCCACTAAACCCCCAAAAAGTTGTAAAGTTTTTGGGTGTTTTCCACTGAACCCCCGAAAAGTTAAAACTTTTTGGGTGTTCTCCACTGAACCCCCGAAAAGTTAAAACTTTTTGGGTGTTCTCCACTGAACCCCCGAAAAGTTAAAACTTTTTGGGTGTTCTCCACTGAACCCCGAAAAGTTAAAACTTTTGGTGTTCTCCACTGAACCCCCTGCAAAGGGCCGTTGCCGCAACCAAGGCGCGCTGTGGGGCGCCCAGGAGCTGCTGGACTTCGCGGCCCGCCGAGGCGCGGGTTGCGCGCGAAAGTCGCGCGCCTGGGGAAGGAAGCGGGGGGCTCGGCGGGATGGTGTCGAAGGATGCCTGGCGACCAAAATGGGGAAAACCCACCCACCTCCAGGAAACAGAAGAAGTTTCATATTTTGGAAATAGGTTGCCCCCCCAACAAAAAAAATAGTAATAATAAGAAGTGTCCCATTGAGGGAACCCGCGTTGGATCGAGCTGAGGCTTCCTTTGCTTCAGTTACACAAAATTGCAACCATCCAATGGTCCAAGTTTGAACCGGGTTGTATACAAACCATTCTATCCAGGATTACGAACCCATTTTGAGCAAACCTCGTAGATAGGGTTACCAAGCATGTTGCTAACGCTCAGGCCGTATGGGGGTTCTCAAAATGGTGGACCCCCTTTTGGTTGGTGCAAACCGTTGAGACAAGCAGCGCTTGAATCAAGGCTCGACTGGGAAACAACACCGGACTCCAGGTAGGCGGCTTCCTTTTGGTTTCCCAAAAAGGGGATCCCCTACCTGGAACGTGACAATTTGTGTGGTGTCAATCAAACTGCCGCGTACTTTCCATCAAGAAGGTCTATTCAGAGGAAATGGTTGATTGGTACCCGCCGTGTGTAAATGGCAACGTTTCAGGTTCCAGGTCAAAAACCTCCGGAAACCAATGGGAAACGCTGGCTGTTGAAAAAGACAGATGGCCGCTGAAATTGGGGGACCAATGATGTGGCGAGGCAAGCTTGAGACCCCACTCATTCATGACGAGAGACCTCCACAGACAAATCCATCTCAAAAAACCGCGCGCCGGAGGCTGGTTCTCCAGGGTGCAGGGCACGTAATGTTGACCCAGGATTCATAAACCCGTCCCAGTATTAGGGGGAGGTTTTTTCCCCTCCAAAAGTGAACAATCCCCACTAAAGGGAATTGGACACCCCCATATTCATAAGCCCAGTGTTTGATTCATCCGGGGTTAGCGTGACGTTCGCCAAGTCGAGCTCTCTGACGTCATCGCGCTTGGCGCGAAAGATCTCCGGAGAGGCTGCGAGCTCGACGTGGCCAACGCGGTCACCGCCTTGCACCGGGTGGCCAAGGCCGCGGACCGGTGGCAGGCGGGCGCGATTCCGTGGCCCCGAGGGGAGGTTTCCCAGCCATCCCCCGTGTTTTTGTTTTTTGGTTTTTGTTTTTTTTCTTCCAGGTTGTTTTGAGCATGGGGCCGGTTTTTGCTGGTTGAATTTGGTGTGTGCATAGAGCTGAGTCAACTTTGACACGGTGCTCGCGAGAGAGAGAGGTTGTTTTGAGGTTGAGTGGTTGGGCTTCCATGGAACTAAAAGTGAAACTCTTAGCAGGGGATCTGCAGGACAGCGCAGTTTAGATGATGACAATCCTTCGGTAAGCAGCGGTGGGTATATGAACCCCCCCCACTGCTTTAATGGTCGTTTGAACCCCAGGGTAAAAAGAATTGGTCCTTAACTCAGGCGGACACAGGAACCTGCACTTCTGGTTTTGGTGGCTTCCGTCTCCAGTGGTGACCCAAAAGCGGAGCTGGAGTTTTCCTTGGCGACTTTTGGCCCGGTCGATCGGGGGACACCTGTCAACCCTTCCAAGAGGAAACAACGGGACACCTCAATGATGCACCCCCGGTTTCTCTGTTTAATTTGAAGCACCTGCGGAACAACCTCTTTTTTTTTTCTCCCTTTTCTTTTTTTTTCTTTCCCGGGCGACCACGGTGAAGCAATTATGGTCTTTCGGGGAGTGTTTCCTGCGACATGAATTGCAACTTGCCCCTGTGCCTTTGGCTAAAGCCCCAAAATGCTGGATTTCAGCAAGGCATGAACAGGGGTTTGGAGAATGAATCTAGGATATGTGATGAAATAGGGTACCCCCCAAATTGGTTTCCGGTTCTTCTCTTGGTTTGCCTTTGAACCAACCCCCCGGGCCTACCCCCCCAAAGAAAAGTTGTGGTGTTCCTTTTGTTTTGCCGTTAAATCAACCCCAAAAACTGTTTATCCCCCATTGAAGGAATGGTGGATCCAATTTGGATGATGAAACTCCTGCACGGAAACTATTGGTGGTGAAGTATCAACCCCCTTTGTTTTAATCTGAACCCCAAAAATGCCCTCCGCCTCAAAAACCCGCTCCAACTGTTTCTTTTTGTTCTTTGTTTGGAAAAAGAACCGGGGCGAAATCCTATTTTCGAGGGTACCCCTTTTTGGTCATTGTTAAATAGTAGAACCCCAAAAAACGCGGAAGTTCATTGAGGAAAGCCGAAGGCGCGAACCACGCGCCAGGTGCGAAAAGACCCGCGCCTGGCAGCACTGGCGGCCCAAGCTTCGGCGTCTCGACTGGGAAGGTGAGGCGCTTGAGAGAGGCCATGGGTGGTGAGCAGGCCGCGTGGGTGGCTTGGCTTTTTTTTGACCCCCCCCCCAAAATGGATTGCCGCGTTCCTTTTGGTTTTACTATTAAACAATGACTGAAAAGGGATACCCTCGAAAAAAGGACAGGGCCAGCTTCTTTTTCCAAACAACAAGGAGAAAGCAACAGTTGTGACCTTTAGGGGGTTGGGTGTTTGTTTTGGCTCTTCTAGAGCCCTCCATTTAAACACATTAAGCAAAAGGTCCTTACCATAGGTGTCCTTTTTTGATTGCTTTGGTCTATCAGTTGTTTTCATCATCTACCAGGCAAACCCATCTATTTGCCCAAAAGGACACCTATGGTCCTTACTTTTATCTTGGAGAGTGTTTTACACCAGCTTTTCGTACTTTGATTCATGACGAGCTGCCCGGGCCAAGCTATACATCCTGCTGACTCAGGCGGCCGTCGTCCTAGACGGAAGTCCGCGGGACCTGGCGAAGGTCCAGTGGGCCATGGGCCGTCTGCACGCCTCGACCAGCGCCTCGACGAGCGGAGAAGGGCTGCTTGCGGCGATTGGGCGGCGGCGGGCGGAATTCGAGCCCCAGAGCCTGTCGCAGCTCGGACGCGCGCGGATCGTTTTTTTTTGGGTGCCAGGTTTGTTTGAAGAGCTGGGCCTGAGGGGGACACGGTTTTGGTTTTTGTCCCTTCGGCCAAGTCTGGTGCACAGCCTGCTTTTTTTAGATCCGAGAGGTCAAAACGAGTTTGGCGCAGTCGTTTCCATCAAGCGCAGAACGAGCAACGGAAAGCGCCGAGGATTTTTTCAGCCGTGCCAAAGGGTCACAGAGAACTGCGCGTTTCACTGGAGGGCCCCGGCTGTTTTGGCCACGCGAGGTTGTCAAAGCCGGGATCTGAGCGCCCTCCTAAGCGTATTTTGGCATTTGATGTGCTTGTCAGTGTTTGGCTTGTTGGCTCTGCTGATTTTTTGGTGGGGGCTGCAAGTACTTCTTTTTGTTGCCTTGGCCAACCGCCGGGCCTGCTCGAGCCTTCGCCTGACAGTCCGGGAAGCCTCTGAAGCTTAGTGAAAAGGAACGTATGGAAACAACTCATTTGCCAGGACCTGGAAATCTATGGACCAAACAAAAAGAAGTCACCCCACACCCACCCTAAACCAACCATAAACCAAACCTAAACCCACCCTAAACCACCCAGCAGGTTGAAAGGTGGGTGGGTTTTGGACAACTGCTCTCAGCAAGACGGTGGCAAGTGAAGCGACAGCTGTAGCCAAGCACGACGCTCCCAGATTCCGAGGATTCCTTTTCGGATGGTTTTTGAGGGAATATAGGGAACCAAAAGGCAGCCACCAGGAGGAATTGGTCCCTTTTGAGAACTCTTGGGCCCAGTACCGACCAACCGGCCCCCCAAATTTAAAATTTTGGGTTTGTAGCCTTTCCCAAAACCTCCCGGGAAGAACAATGCCGAAGCCTTCGAGTTCCTGGTGCTTCAGTTTGGCTCAGGGGTTCCTTACTAGGCCTTTCCTACCCCCTTGCTAGGGGCCCTTAGTAGGGGCTTCCGAGTAGCTGCTCGCTAACCTCGGCTGCCATTTGGGGGAGTTGTGAGCGAGCAGACACGAAGAACTCTAGGGATTGATTCCGACTTCTTTTCAACCGTCGTTGTTTTCAAAAAACCGGATCCGTTTCTTTTGCGTTTTTGATGGTTTCCTGAAAAGATTCGGAGCCCTGGAAAGACTGGGGAATCAACCCCTAGCAGAACCCAATCCCTTCCACCGCAGGAATATTTTGTGGAGCCTGGCCTTCTCGGATCACCCCCTGGACCAACTCCTGGCAGAGTTCACGCGAGAGATCCACCGCTGCGACCCCCAGGCGTCAGGGGGTTCGCCAGTGAAAGGGAAGCCATGTGTCTTGCTTGTTCGGGTACCCCTTTGTGGTGGGGTTTTAAAGGGAAACCCAAAAGCAACCACGTTTTTTTTTGTTTCTTCCCCCTAAAAAGGGAATACCCTGGCTGGTTGGAAGGGAGCGAACCGGACTCGCAGCCGGAACCCGGTATCCAAATTTGCCTTTGAACGAGAGTCTTTCAGAGCTACCGATCGGAGTCCGAGAAGGAGATGCTGGTTCACATGGGCGTTTTTTTTTTTTTTTTAATTGGGGGGGGCGCCATCCACACTCGGGGATTCATGTCCACCAAAAAGGGAGATGGATCCCTATTCAAATTCCCAACACACGCATGGAAGGTCCGGCTCCAGAAAGTGCCAGAAATTCGTAGAGGTTCCCCACGAGATCAGGGTCACTTCGGGGGACCTGGATCGAAGTTTCGAAGGCTGAATGTGGTGGCTCGGTACCAAGCACATGAGGAAAGCCACGGTTTTTGTTTGGGGGGGCCCAAATGGGTCCAAATCCTCAAAGAAGAGAAGAGCTACCCATGTGTGCACCCCGAGGTGTTTTGAGGCAGTCCCTCAAGTTGCAACTCTTCCCTCCCTGGGGAGGGCCCGTGGTCCCGGTGGGTGGACTGCAAAATGGGGGGGGGGCACGGGTCCGTGTCTCCAGCCACAAGGAGGTGTCCCGAGAAAGACGACCAGGTGGGGGAAAAAACCTTCACTGTTGTTGGCACGTGTTGAGGTGTTTCCCTTTTTTGGCCCTGCTCATTTTTGGTACGGGGCGCGACAAAAAACAGTCAGTCTTTTTTTTTGGTGAATCCATACCAAGGGCTGTAGAGATACTCATCATGCGCTCTGGCTCCAAGGAAACACACCATACCGGGAGGTTTAATTCTCGCAGCCCCATTCCGCGCTGTCTTATTCCCCAGATCTTGTCAACCCCCGACGGGGCAAATTCCGGTTTTGCGTATCCTTGTTGTCGGTTTGGATTTGTTGATTCGAACTGGTTTCCTCTGAGACCAAAGAGGACGCAGCCATAAAACCTCCAAGCCAAGGGAAACATGCTGATTCAACCCGTGAGTTCAAAATCCGGTATCACAGGTCTAGTCAAAACCCGAAAACGCTTCAGACCCCCAGTGGCGTGTTTTTTTGTTTTTCTTTTGGGCTGATCGAGGTCAGATCCATTGCTCTTTCCCTGCATCTCTCGCACCGATCGCAAGACTTGGGTTTTGCCAGAGATGGTCATGGCAAAACATCCTTAAGCATTGGAATGATTCCCGTTCCTTTCAGGGAATCCTTGATTTCATTACCCACCTTCCCTGCATCTCTCGTACCCATCGCAAGTTTTTTTCGGACCCAGCGCCCTCGGAAAATCCCATCGCCGCGGAAAGTTTTTCCTTTTTTCGTTGGAGGCGCTGAGCAACGTGGCCTGGGCCTGCGCGAGGCGACTGCTGTGCTGCGCACCCGTGATGGAGGCAGCGGGTTTTTTTGTCTTCGTATTTGTTGTAAGCGGTTTGGGGTTGCTTGGCAACGTTTTGAAGTTTTGGTGTTTGGGAGGCGATTTGATTCGTGTTTGTCTCGTACTTCCTAGGAAGGGGTTGTTAGATTTTATGTTGGAATCCGCGTTTGCGATGCTTCTACACCACGCCCCCACCCAGTATCCCCACCGAGTATCCCGCTGGAGCAGCTCGCCAGTGGATCCCGCCGAGTATCCCGCCAGAGCTGCTCGCCAGTGGATCCCGCCGAGTATCCCGCCAGAGCTGCTTGCCAGTGGATCCCGCCCAGTATTCCGCCAGAGCTGCTCGCCAGTGGATCCCGCCCAGTATCCCGCCAGAGCTCGCCAGTTAATCCCGCCCAGTATCCCGCCAGAGCTGCTCGCCAGTGGATCCCGCCAAAGCAGCCCGCCAGTGGATCCCGCCGAGTATCTCGCCAGAGCAGCTGGACAGCGGATCCCGCCCAGTATCCCGCCAGAGCTGCTCGCCAATGGATCCCGCCGAGTATCCCGCCAGAGCGGCTCGCCAGTGGATCCCGCCGAGTATCCCGCCAGAGCAGCTCGCCAGTGGATCCCGCAGAGTATCCTACCGGAGCAGCCCGCCAGTGAATCCTGCCGAGTATCCCGCTGAGTATCCCCCCCAAGTAGCTTGCCAGTGGATCCCGCCGAGTATTACGCCAGAGTAGCTCGCCCGTGGATCCCGCCGAGTATCCCACCAGCCCGCCAGTGGATCCCGCGCAGTATCCCGCTGAGTGTTGCAGAGTAGCTCGCCAGTGGATCCCGTCGAGTATCCCGCCAGAGTAGCTTCGCCAGTGGATCCCGCCGAGTATCCCGCTGAGTATCCCAGAGTAACTCGCCAGTGGATCCCGCCGAGTATCCTGCTGAGTATTCTTTGCCGGTGGATCCTGCCAAGTATCCGGCCGGTATCGAGCCGGAGCGGCTCGCCAGTATTCGCCAGTGGATCTCGCCAGTGTCCCGCCAGAACAGCTCGCCAGTCTGGTTTTGCTTAATATCCCGCCTGGCGCGCAGTTGGGTTTACATTTCATGTTGGCGCCTTCGTGTTTTGAGTGTGCCCTGAGGCTCCGAAAGGGTGATGCTATTGTGTTGCTTTGGGTTGTGAACAAGCAACTTCGTTTAATCCCCCGTCGGGTTTCCTTTTGGAAGGGGCTTGGCGTTTGTTAACGGAACCGATGTTTGAGTTTTCAAGATCGGCTCGCAGACAAGTGGAGTTTGATACACAGACAGGTGGACAAGGCTCTCAACGCAAAGCTTGTTGAGCAGTCATAGGCCCCAAGCCACTCGAAAACCATGCTTGGATTCACACAACCGTGTTCACGGTCGTAAGCGCGTGAGTGTGGAGGGTGGGGATTGCTCGAAGCTTAGTATCTTTTGCTTGCATTGCGTTGCATTGCGTTGCATTGCATTGCATTGCGTTGCGTTGCGTTGCATTGCTTTGCAAAGCTTTGCTTTGCCTTGCTTGTCTTGTGTTGTTGACTGTTTGTTCGCCCGTTTGCTTCTTCTTTTGTTTCTTCATTTAAGCTACTAGCACTTGATTTTTGGGCGCGGTTGTTTGTCAGCTGGCTTGTGTTTTTCACTGAATTGTGTTGCTGGCCACACGGGGGCATCACGGCAGGAGAGGCTAAACAAGCATCAGGTGAAAGGCTGTTTGTTTGCATGTTTGTGCAGCAGCCTCGCCGGATCGATCCCGACGCAGCTTCCGAATTTTCTGCAAGCATAGGTGTCCTTTTGGTTTTGTTTTCGTCGAAAAATGGATGGCGATTCCTGGTTTACCTGGTGGTTTGATCATCTACCAGGGAAACCCATCTATTTCCCCTAAAAACCGTTTTTTTGTGGTTGACTTGTCCGGAAGGTTTGTTTTCGGTGCGATATGCGATATCCCATGAAGTACTCTTATACGCCTGGCGTGGTCAAAAAGTATTTACCTCCTACATGTCGACATGTCCCTTAGATGTGTATTTTTGTGTTTTTTTTCACGCAGGCCGCTTCGGCGCATCCGCGAGGCCATCTCCCGCTGTGCGGTGCTCAAAACGCCGCAGTTCGACGTCCAGGGCCTGGCGAATTTGGTGTGGTCCTTCGCCACTTTGAAGCGGGAGGCCGGGTTGGGGGGGGGGGGGTGAGGTTTTTCTGGGGGGCTGGAGCTGGCTGCGGGCTAACCAGGGCCCGTCCCAGAAGCCGGGGGCTCGCTCCGTTCCATCGATTCTGAGGGTGTGACTCGCGCTGATTGCATCAGGGATGGATGTGTTTTTTTTTTGGTTTGCGAATACTGGTGCGAAGTGGAGGTTGTCCATCCAGAGTATGTCCCTTAAGTGGCCAACCATGCATTTACCATACGGGCTATTGGCTACTCATCACTTAAGTACCCAGCCGCTTCATTCAGGCGAGGGTGTCGGGTGTGAGGGTTGGACCTCCAAGTTCAAAAGGGGTATGCGGGTGGAACCGGATTACCAGAAGTTCCTGGAACCTGAAACAGCCATTCAAGCTGCCATTTTCCAGCGAAAGGTTTATTCATAGAACGACGTGGTTGTTTGGCCGAATGTCCATTTGTAAATGGTTGTTGCAGGTTCCAGCTTGGTTTTGCGCTTTCCTCGTCAAAACCCCGTTCCCAAAATCGGGCACGTAAGTCGCTGGTGGCAAGCGCACCATTTCGCAGATAATATATATCTCGACAGCCCATGTTTCTCCCACCAAATGGGATGGTGTCAAGTTTGATTTTCTGGGGAAACCCAAGCAACCTCCGGAGTTTTTCCACCAAACCTCAGGTACTGGTTCCCCTAATTGGTGGTTTGAATTTGGTGGTTTTGGGATTTGAGGCTAACGGGAAGGGACAGGGGGAAACGGTAAATGGGAAGGTAAACGGGAAACCCGGACGGGAAAAGGGTCGCCTGGGTCTCAAAAGCGAAACCACCCCCTGTACTTACCAAACCACCCCTTCCCCTCCCCCTCCCCTCTCCCGGAGTTTTTCCTAGAAACAGACTTGGAACCCTTTTTCCTTTTTCGGGGTTCACCATTGTCAGTGAAGAACCCACAAGATACAAGGGATCTTGAGGACGAGGAATTTTATGAAAGACAAAGGCAAGGCAAGCCAGCCGCCGGCAATTTTGCCCTCCAAGTGGTTTTTTCTTCCCCCCTCGGCTCCGCCGCCTGGACCCCTCGGCCCGCCTCGACCCCCCGCCCGCTGCTCGGCAGGACGGGCCGCTCTTCGCGGCGGTGGCGGGCCAGGCGCTGGGCGCCGTGTGGCGCTGGGGGCCGCGGCACCTGGCGAACCTGGCCTGGGCCTTCGCCAAGGCCCGGGATGAGACGGACGTGGTGGGTGGGTGGGGGAAGGAGGGGTGGGTGGGTGGCGCAAAAAACGTTGTTTTTTTGGGGGGGTGGGCTGTCGTGTTCGGATTGTTTTTTGTTGAAGGGTTGGTTGGTGGTTTGTCGAGTTGGTGCCTTTTTTTGGCGATTGAAGGGGGGGTGGGTTAGAGGAACACCGGACTGTTTTTGGTGCTGTTTTGAGTTGGTGCCTGTCTTTCCAGTTGTGTGTGGGGGGGGGGGGAACCCAAGGGAAAACAAACATCCGTTTTGGGGAAAAAGACACCCATTGTTCGCTCGGGTTACTTCAGGTGACCCTTATTTGGTGGCGTTTTTTTTCTTCTAGGGAGTCCCAACCATGAAGAAGTTAGCCCTAAATTGGTTTTGGATTGGTTTGGAAAATGGAACCACTGGTTCCGGGCCACCAAACCACCAAACCACCCACTCCCAAGCCACTAATTGGAAGGAAGCTGATTTATGCATGTTCTTGGGGTTCCCTTAAAGACCACCTGGCAAAACGCGGCGCCCAAAACGGCCACGGGGGCAGTGGCGCCTTTTTTTCCTTTTTTCCATTGAAAACCACCAAACGCGAGATGATGGTTGTCCTTTTGGCTTCCCCTCAAAACCATGTGAGCCACAAGCAAAACCCGGGTAGATGAAGGCTCATGGTTCCGGGCAGATCGTTTTAATACCGGGTTTTGCTTATGACTCATGTGGCTGTGCGTCAAAACAAATGGTATCCCATTTTGGGGTTTTCGGTGCCCCACCCCTTAAAGAACCTATTTTAGTGGTTGGCTTGGGTCCCATTCACTGGGGGCCAACCGATTTGGGTCTTGAAAAGCCCATGGCCACGTGCCAACTCCAAAGGCGCCTTCACGCTCGGTTTCGGGCGGCGCGTTTTGTTTGGCGCCAAGGCCGCGGAGTTTCGCGGCCCGTTGCTGGCCGCGGTGGCCGCTGAGGCGCTGAAGACCGTGGAGCACTTCGGGTGCCAGGCATTCGCGCGCGCGCGCGCGAGCGCGCGCTGGCGCCGGCCTGTGGGCGGGGCGGCCCCAGATGGGGCTGGTGGTTAAAACCAGTGGCGCCATTTTGGGGTAATTAGGTGCATTTTAGTGGGGCTTGGGATGTTCTTTTCTGGGTTTGGGGCTGAAATGTTTGGGTCTTTTCTTGGTAGCCATCCGGTTCCTTAGCTTGTTAGCCTTTTAGGTAGTTTCCATTCAGCCCACTAAGAGTTAGTCACTGTTAGCGGGGGATCTGAGGACAGCTCAGCTTTGGCCACTTAGAAGCCAGTTTTAGTGCACACCGCCAGTTCATTCATCAACTTTTGAAAAGGACATGCAGTGACCACAGGGTAACCTTCAGTTGGTACTTCTTTTTGAAGAAACCTTGATCTAGACTCAATACAGCCTCGCTGGCCCGTTGTGTGTCTTTTAAGGGAATCCTCGTTGGCTTTTAAGGGAAACCAAAAGGACACTGGAACCTGAAACAGCAATCTGCAATTTGTTGTTGCAGGTTCTAGGTTGGTGCTGAGTTTTTGTTATAGTTTCCGACTGTTTACATCTACTTGAATCCTTGAATCTCTTGTATGCATCTACATTCGTATTTGGGTCTGTCTTGAAATAGGAAACTGCCAAACATGTGGTTTTCTTCTTGGTTTCCTTCGACCGCACCTGGTGGTACCCGGCCAAAATTGATCCACCCGTACTTTCTTTGTCCGGCAAGGTCTCTTACTGTCCGAGTAACTTTTCAAAGCCGTTTCAAAAGCAGATGCCCTTCAAACAACGACATCTATCCACATGAATCCCTTTTAGTGAATTTACATATGTATCTTGGGGCTTGGAAAAAGGACCGCACCCCAACCCCCCCCCCCCCAACCACCCTCAACCCCAACCCCCAACCCCCCCCCCCAACCTCCCCCGTCGTTTTCGCCCTGAGCTGAAGAGCTTCAGGGCCTCGCGAACCTGGCCTGGAGCTTCGCCGCGGGCGGCGAAGCCGCGGCCGCGGCGGCTGCGCCGCTCTTCGCGCGCCTGGCGGCGGCAGCGCTGGGCAGGGCCAAGGCGATGCAGGCGGCGTCAGCGCGCGGGGGATGGGGTGGGGGGGGCCTGGAATCTGCGGGGGACCCGAGAACCATGGGAGGTCGTGGCGTAAAGCTTGGTACCCTCAAAAACACACATGTCAGAGAGAGCTAGGTGCTTGTGGTGTCTCAAACGGAAACTCGGGCTCCAAAACGGTTGGTTATCTTTGGTTTGTCTTGAAATACCAACCAAAAGGGCGGTACCCGCTCAAAGCCCCCTAGATTGGAACGTGCCAACCTGCCTCATTCTTCTACATCACGATGTTCTTGGAAGTGTCTTTTGGCAGCTTGAGCGTATGCACCCGTAGCATCAATCGCCTTTTTCAGTGAGAGCAAGAGAGGCGTATCAATCGGTCGCAATAGACAGGACCAACCTCCCAGAAGATCCCCCCCAAAATGCGGTGTCCTTTGGTTTTCCTCTACACCAACCTTCCAAAAGATCCCCCCGAAATGCGGTTTCCTTTTGGCTTGCCTCTCGCAAAAAGGGCAGGGTATTTAGTAAGTGGTTAGCAAGCCTGGTTATATCCTCACCATCTAAGTCTCCGTTCAGTGGGTTTTTTTTCCACGCTCACTAACCACTTACCTGATGTACCCGATCGCCCTTTTAAGTCGCCTTTGTCTCAAAAGCCAACCTCCCAGAAGATCCCCCGAAATGCGGTGTCCTCTTGGCTTTCTTCCCAACCTCCCAAACGAGGCGCGCCTTCGCCTCCAAAAACGCCGCGCCGCGCGGCGGCAGGTGCAGAACCTGGTGAACCTGGCCTGGGCCTTCGCGAAGCTCTTGCTGGCGAAGGCCACTCGCTTTCGTCCGCCCGAGCCGGAGCCACGCGTCGTGGAAGCGTGGGACTCGTCGGAGGTGCCGAGGGTTTTGCCCCCTTTTTTTCAACTCACGTCCTGAGGTCCCGTTTCGGACTGTAGTCACTTTTTGGGTTTGGGAAGCCCATTTTTGCCTGGAAGGTAACAAGTTTGGTTTTGTGGTTGCTTTTTTTGGGCAATCCACTCGGGAAGCGAGCCCCTCACAAGCAAGGCAAGCTTTTTGGAGGGCCCTGCAATCACAGCTGACAGGAGAACCCCCTATCCACTTCCATGAAGAGGGTACATGGGTATGTCTCAAAACAGGGGGCCCCCTGAAATGTTGGTATTTTGTGGTACCCCTGGACGTACCAAAAGAGGGCCCCCTTCTTGAGAGACTAAAACGAGTTGTTCCACGGGGTTCTCAAGAAATGAGCTGATGTTGCCATCCTCACACCGCTGAGGGGGTGAAATCGCCTGGGAAACACTTTTGCTCTCCCCATTTTTGAGGGTGGCTCGTCTCCCATTCGTTGGGATTTCGGTCGTTTGATAGGCAGACCCTGGCCCTTTGGCATAGGCAGACGTGCGAGGAAGCCAAGACCTGGCGCCAGAGAGTCACAACCAGAACCAACCTGGATCGCCAGTTGCGATCGCTTTTTTCCATCCACTTTACCCCAAAAACCAGCAACAGTGACTGAAAAAACAGCAACTTGGCTATCTAGAAACAAAGTATTTCAATGGTCTAGCCAAATGACACAGAAACTGAAAAGGGGGCGGAACATGAAAATCCAAATCGTACCAGCGAACATCCCAATCCAAGCACTCAAATCCCGACTAAACGGGCGGTGGATTCACCGGGACCCAAAAAAAATGGGAGATCTTCCAAAACGGTTCTGAGACCCAGCGCCCATGTCTGGGCCCAGCTTCGTCGGCCCGTTGGCCTGAGCTCCCGTCGGTTTTTTTTCCGGCCCCGAAGGAGACCCAGAAAGGTGATCAGCTTTTGGGGGTTGCCATGACTGATAAACCGACTTTGGAAGAACAAGGTTGAAAGGTCGGCTTTGGGTAGCTGAGACTTAGAGACCAAATCCAGAAATCCGTCGGTACTTATGACTTATGGATGGTTGATCAACCAGTATTCCAATCGGGCGACAAATCCATCCCAAATAGTACGACGTTGTCCACAGCATGCCCAGAGGAAACACACCATGGCTACGACGTTCAAACCACGAGTCCTTTTTGAGCGGCCCATTTTTGTGGTCCCCCAACAAAAGACAAGCCACCCAGCCCTCAGCCATGCGCCGCTTTATTCTCGGGCGATGTGATCAGGAGGGCTTCCTGGACAGCCTGGCCGCCGCAGCGGTCTCGAAGCGCGGGGAGCTGACGGCGCAGCACTGCTCGAGCCTCTGCTGGGCCTTCGGCGCGGTGAGCCACGCGGGGGCCTCTGAGATGGGGAGACGCGGGGAGGCTGGAGGCATTGGAGGTTTCGAGGTGGGCGAAGGAAGGGGGGGGGTGGTGGTGGGGGGGAGGTGAAGGGGGGGGGGCACTTCTTTAAATGAAGGTTAGTAAGGGATAGTGTGGGACAGCGAGGTTTAAAGCCCAGGTGGATGAAGGTTGGCATTGCCTTCGACGCCTTGGTAGCTCTTTGCCGTGAATTTGGAGGATCGACCATTTTGGGACCGATCGGTTTTGATTATGACTCAGGTTGAGTCGAGGTGCGAACTGGTGCCAGCTCCTATGCCCGAGAAAGGCCTAGGGCTAGCCAGCTCCCATAGCTTTTGGGGTCTAAATGGCCGCAAGGAAGCTTCGTTGTTGCGCTTGGTTCGGGAAGGACCTACTCATTCCTGGTTCTGTTTCGATGGCAGACGTGTTGGCCTCGGAAGCCTCGTTGAACGCGCAGGTGAACCATGGGCTGATGACGCAGATGGCCGCGCGCGCGGTGTGTTGCATCAGCGAGAGCAATCCGCAGGAGAGGGGTGGAACAGCGGGGCTTTGTGAGCAGCGGACCATCTTCATTTGGCCGTGGCTCAAAAAACCGGTGCCAAAATGGACCCCCGGTAAGTGGAAACATGGACCAAAACCTGCGTAAGCCCTGCTGTTTAATTTTGAGCCACACCCATTTAGCCAAACATGTATCCTATTTGCACTCTCTTAAGTTGACGAGGATCACCCAGAACAGAACACCGTTCCTCTTTTCAATCTTTCCTCTGAGCTTCCACGCTTTCATGATTGTTGGAGGGAGGGTAAGCTTTAGGCGAACGCAGATGGCGCAATTCGTCCATGAGCCCCCTACTTGCTGAGAGAAGGGGAATCGTGCATCTACTCTCACGCTTGTGCAACTCTCCGAGCTTCGGTCAAACAAAATCCCATATTAGCCTGTGGTTCCTGGGTAGGGACATGCACTGGCCACGAACACCACTCCCTGAACAAGTCTCCCGGGAATCGTTGCCTCTTTTTTTTTACATAAATGTGGCTACTTGGAGATTGTCTCGCCAGGTAGGGTCAAACCCGAAAGGTCAAACCCCAGGTTCCAACTTGGAATCCACAAAAGGGCGGCCTTTGACATCTTGAACTATCATGAGTTTTCGACACCAATTCTTTTAGGTCGGGTTTTTTCTTATAGGTCTGGGAGACTCTCAGATGCTTCTAGCAGTCTGTGACCCTGCCACCGATATGTGTGCCGTTCCCGATCAACATTTCAAGGGTTCTGCTAGGTCAAGTAGCAAAAGTGAGCAAACAACGGGTCAGCATGAACCGGCTCCGGGGTTCCTCGACTGGGTTCCCCGCTGGAAAGCAGACAGCCTTTGGATCTCCAGATGGTATGATATGGACCCCCAGAAATGGCGGTCTTGGGTCTCCCTTTTCTTGGCTTTTTAGCCTTTAAGTGTTTGGTGGTAGTTTCCGTTTAACCCACTAAAAGTTAGTCACTTTTAGCGGGGGATTTGAGGGCAGCCCAGTTTTAAATCCTGATAAGACCCTCCCTGAACAGAGTACCAACCCCGAAGAAGCGCAGAAACACGTCATGGCGCAACTTACCTTCCCCCTTCCCCCTAGTTCCGGATCCCAGACCTCTCCAACCAAAGGGAAACCACCGGAAAACCGCGGGTTCGGGGGCTTTGTATCGATGCACGTGTGGGGGGCTTATTTTAGGAATCGGAACCCTCCGAAATGGGTACCCTCAAAAAGGGCATACGGTGGATGCAAACTCAGTATTGCAAGTAGGGAACAAAGAAACCCCGACGCAACTTGGTGGCTCCCAGCCATCCGGTTCCTTAGCTGTTTAGCCTTTTAGTGTTTAATGGGGATTTGCATTTATCCCAGGAACAGTTAGTCACTTTTAGCGGGGGATCTGAGGACAGCCCAGGTAAGTTCAACCATGATTCTTTTTTTTTGCGATATATTGCAGGGGGCATCCACCGTGCCCGTTTTTGGGTGCTGTTTTTTCTGAGGTGGCCCCAAAAAATGTGGGGCTCCCCCTTTTTTTTTGACCCCCCCATATTGTTTTGACCCCCCTCCCTTTTCCAACAAGAAAATGATGGTTCCTCAAAAGTGGGTTTCCTTTTGGTTTCCCTTTTTAAAACCAACCAAAAAGGGTGGCACCCAACCGAAAAAGGACGCACCCCATTAAAAAGGGACACACCAAGAAAGGAAGTCCCCCAAATCGGGGGGGGGGGGTAGTAATCAGGGGACTCTCCAACTCCAAAAAACGACGAGGCCCCCGAGGTATTAATCAGGGGGATCGGCTTCAAAGAAAGGAATCCCCGCTAAAGAGGTTAAACAAAAGGGACCTTTCCTGATTAGGAAGCTCCCCTAAAAACCAACTAAACAGGGATCGGCTTCAAGGAAAGGACACTCCCCTAAAAAGGCCTAAAAAGCACAGTTTCGCGCGGGCAGGGGGGTATTAATCAGAAAAAGGCTAAACAAAAAGCCTTTCCTGGCTATGAATCAGGGTCAACATTGCTCTCCAATCCCGAGAGGACCTCTCCAACCTGCTCTGGAGCTGCGCCCGCCTCGCGTGGAACTCCGCCAGCTTCTGCGAGGCGCTGGCGGAGGAGGCGGAGCGGAAGGCGCGGCGGTCACCGCCCGGGGTGGCGCGTCTCCCTGCGAATCGTCTGGTTAAACTTAGGCTAGGCCCCCCAGTAATTGGTGCCCTCTCTCACCCTTCCTTTTTTGGGGTTGGGAGGGTTCCCCTACCAACATAGACTACATAAAAAAAATGGCATCCTTATTCTAACCTCTCTACTGGAGGACCTAGTAGGTTTTTCGGTCGTTGGTTGGTTCGCTCGGCTCAACTTAGGTTTGCCGGTGTTTAGTTGGTTCGTCCGGTTCATCATTTCAGTTTTGAATCGTTTGTTTGTTGGTTGGTTTATTGGTTGGGTGTCCATTAAACCCACAATTTGTCAAACCATCCACAGTAAGGCTACTGTGAATTGGTGAAAGGATACATACCCCAGCCGGATTTGGGCTAGCTTCCTGTAGAAGTGTTGAACTTCCGCTGGTTTCTTATGGTAAAGTATTTTTTTGGGGTTTCTGGACTTTCAACTTTGTTTTTTTAAGGGGGGGGGCCAGCCTTTTTCGTGGCAAACAGGAGCCAATCCTTTCTCTGGCCAATCTCGATCGGACGTCAGAACTTCTCGCCGGCTCGGGTTCCCCTGTGATCCAACCAGAAAAGGGTGTCGCATGTTTGCCCCAACTTGAAAGGGCGTCAGATAAGTGGAACCACGAAATACTCTAGGGGTTGATTCCCCATTCTTTTCAACCATCGTTCTTTTCAAAAACCGGATCCGTTTCCCCTGGGTTTTCTATTTCCTGAAAAGATTCGGATCCCTGGGTTCAGAACGGAATTGGAAAGTACCCCTAGAAATACACCGCGTGGCGTGCCAGGCGCAGGAGTTCCCCGTGCAGAACCTCGCCATCACCTCCTGGGCCTTGGGTGTGCTGCGCCTGAGCCGCCCGCAGCTCTTCGGGGAGGAGACCCTGCAGCGGCTGCGTGAGGAGCGCGGCAGGCGGCTGGGGGGTGGGGGGTAGCTGGTGATGTTGGGAAGGGAGCCGGGAACCGGAGCTGGGGAACGGTAGCTGATTCTTTTGCTTTCAAGGAGCAGGAGTTCTGTAAGAACGTGGCAGGTAGGAGGGTTCCAAGTTTTATGAAATAGTACAAACAAATTTAAGCCTAGGCGTTGGTTTCCCGTTTGGGGAACATCTTCCATTGGGTTGAAGTCTACCTTGGGACAGTCAAAACATAGAACCTTGGTTGAGAGGGAGGTTATTGGGTCGTGGGAGTTAGGCTTTGTGTTTTTTTCTCGGTTTTTTCTTTTTTCTCGGATCTGGTGGACAAGGTTGGGTGACTAGGTCTTTCTTTCCTTCCTTCCTTTCCTTTCCTTTCCTTGCCTTTCCTTTCCTTTCCTTTCCTTTCTTTTCCTTTCCTTTCCTTTCCTTCCTTTCCTTTCCTTTCCTTTCCTTTCCTTTCCTTTCCTTATCTTCTTTCTTTCTTTCTTTCTTTCTTTCTTTCTTTCTTTCATCCCTTTCTTTCTCTCTCTTTCATTCAACAGTTGATCTTTCTTGTGGGTGGAAGGGCCGTGGGCGTGGGCTGCAGTTGTTCACCCATTGGGGAGAGAGCTTTTTCTCCATTGGGCAAATAGGGGACACCGTCCGACCTTCATGGACCCTGAAAGGATGATAATTGGGTCTCAATCCGCCCCATGCCCCCCCCCCAAAACACTCAATGCTGTTTTTGTGGCAGTTGATCAATATTCCTGGCCCCTGAATGACCATGGGTAACTTTTCGCGTTTTTGGGACCTTTTTGATATTGATGAACCCCCACCATGTCTTCGGCCGTTTTTTTTGGTAGGCCGCCTTAGGGCTCCAGGCGTGTTTTTTCAGGCAGTTCCAGGCGGATTTGGGGGCGTTCGGGCTGTTCGTTTGGTAGCCCCCGAAGCGGTGGTCATCCCCAAAAGGTTCTTAGGTTTTTAATGTTTAGTGGGACTAAAAGTTAAGCCTTTGGCAGGGTCGCCTTATTTGGTGGTTTTGATTGGTGGTTTGGATTTGGATTTGAACCTTGGTGTTTGTAGAGGGTAAATGGGGCACCCAAAAGCAGCAAACCAAACCACCGATTCGGCCTCGGGCTCCCAACCCCCCCTTTTTGGAGGGAAGCTGACAGGCCTTGTGATCGGTGTGATAAGTAGGGAATGTGGTTGAATGAGCCGCTTCGGGATTTTCCCGAACAACGGACACCACCAGTTGGATGATTTACAAGGTTCATGCCCTCATTCCCTGCCTATCGCGCCAAGCCACGTCCCTCCTCACCAGCCTGTTGGATGGTCTTTCTCGGGGTCGGACTCAGACTCCATGTCTTCCATTTGCTTAAGAACATTTGTTATTTCCCCTTGTTGGCTTTAAAAGGAGTGTATCACTACTGGACATAGTTTCCGATTTTTTTTTCCGGTTTGGTCTTAACCAAATGGAAGGTGTCTTTCGGGGCCCCGGGCCATTCCCATCGATCGATCAGCGTAGCGCGAGGCTGGGGGCGCAGAACTTGGCCAGCCTGGCGCAGGGCCTGGGGAAGCAGCTCGCGGCTCGGTTTGTTGGGCGAGAGGTGAGGTGGGGAGGTGAGGTGGGGAGGTGAGGTGGGGAGGTGAGGTGGGGAGGTGAGGTGGGGAGGTGAGGTGGGGAGATGAGGTGGGGAGGTGAGGTGGGGAGGTGAGGTGGGGAGGTGAGGTGGGGAGGTGAGGTGGTCTTTTTTTTTTTTTCCGGGGGAACCTCAGAGAAGACCAGTTCCCCCAATTATTGGGGGTTGTTTGGTTGCTTTTAAAGGCAAACTCGAAAGGGACGCAACCATTCTCTTTGCACTAGGACCAAATGGGTCTGTTGTTTTCTCCGGCATCACCGGGGGAAAAAGGATTGGTTGGAACCCAATTCTTTCCAGGGATCGGAAGGCCTCATGAGTGATTTTTGCAGCACAAGGAGTCCCTTCCTCGTTTGTGTAGCTAGGTCCCCAGCTAGGTGCCCTTCTCTCCCCTTTTTGGGTGAGGGTTCCCCTACTGAAATAGACTACAGAAAAAAGTTGGTACCCTTATTCTAACCTCTCTACTGGAGGACCTAGTAGTTGTTTGGCGTAGGTGTTCATGGAGTCTTCCAAGAAAACAACAAACATTCTTTTGGCGGGGAAGGAGTTGTCCTTGCCCCCTTTCTCCCCGACAGCTTCCCTCAAAAAGACACCGAATGGCGGTTTTGCCTTCCCTGAAGACAGACCCAACAAGGGGCACCGACTCGAGTCAAGGTTACAGGGGTTCCTCCATTTCCTTTTTTGGAACCTCCAAAAGTGGCAAACTACCGGACAATTGGTCAACTTTTCAAGGGGAAATCCGAGGGGGAACGCCTTGACCTGGAACCTGAGACAACCATCAACAAATGAGGTCGATTCATACTGTGGACGGACTAAATCCAGCACCGCTTTGAAACCACGAGAAACGGTATTTACAGGCGAATCCAAAGTTCCAACGTTTCTTGGGTGGTGCAGGATTTCGTCCATCCACAGTTGGTTGAAACCACCGTTTGTAAATGGCTAAGTTGCAGGTTCCAGGGAGTTGGTACCCCTTTTTTGGTCAGCTTTTTTAAAGGGAAACCGAAGTGAGACCCAAATCCACTCTGGTTATTTCAAGTGATCCATATACTTGCTGGCGCTGGGATGGTGGGATTTTATCATTTTGCGGTTGTTTCAGAAGACTTTTCTCCCTATTGGTCTTTTTGAGGCGAAGAGTGCCCACTATTTTGAGACACACCCCAGACTTTTCCTGCCCACCGCCGGAACCCTCAGGGCGGCTAAATTTGTCCATCTGGGTGGATCGGGCTTAGGTCGACGTTTGGTGACAGCTTACATTTGACCAGGACAATGATAGAAACAAATTGCGCGAAGGGTTTCAGAAGGCCGTAAGAGGAAGCCGGTCTTCCTTGTACCTGTCCAACTGCCTTGAGCACTTGAGATTTGTCACAACAGGCTGAAGATTTTAGGTTGAACGTAAGCTTTTGGTAGGACCCCCCCGCCCCGCCGTGGTCCCTTGCGACCAAGGTCAGAGACGAGGGGATCTTCTCCTTTCTGGCGACAGAGGCCGCTGAGTGCGTGGATGCCTTCAGCAATCAGGACCGTAGTCGCATGGGTTAAGGGGGAGTCCCCTCAAAGGAGATTCCTTAACAAAGGAAGCCCTGTTGGTTGGCTTAAACCAACAGGAGAACCACTTTGCTTGTTCTGGGGTGGGTTCTCGTTTAGTTGTCTCACCGCGACAAAGCGAGAAGATGCAGCATCCCGTGGTGAACGCCGCTGGACACGGGAAACGGGAAGCGAGCTTTGGAGGTTGCGGTGCGTCTGTGAAATTTGGTCCGGACTCACCGAGAATGAGGGCCCCCAAAAAAAGGACAATGGTAGAGAGACGGGACTCGGAGGGTTGTCGACTTTGGGCCACGCACGGCACGCGTTGAGGGGAACTTTGGCCCCCTGTCACCGTTGGGTTATCGGCGGAGCGATGACGTTCAATGCCTGCCAGCATCTCCAGCTCAACAGCTGGATCTAGCATTGCCGTTGTCATGCTCTTTGTACCAATGCCCAGCTACATCGTCTTCGCTGGTGAGTCAGGCAGTGAGGACATGACCAAGGCTGTGGCCAATTCGTTTTGCGATGATGAGGCACGTGAAGCCATTTGTGCTTCGGCGCGGAACATGGTTTTGCAGCTTGGCCTCAAACTCAAGCAAGTCCCTGGCCTTGGGGCGTGTCAGTTTGAGAGCTTGAGCGTCGCTGCAAAAGGTCAGGGATGGGACGTTGGTTCCGGACCTGACGTGAGGGAGTGGTGGACCAGCTGATCCAGCACTCTGACGAGTACAAAGGGTTTGCCCCGGACGATTGGCAGACCTGGCGCAAATGGCGCACGCTGATGGGTGGGGTGATAACCTTACCCTCGCAGCCTTCTGCGACGGATGGGGCTTTCTTTGGACTGGATATCTATTCCTTTCAACAAGGGGAAGATCGGCAAGGGGACCACCTCAAAAAAGACTTCGTGGATCCAGGGTGTTTCTTGGCGCCGACCGTGCGCCGATGGGATTTGCCTTGGAGGCTTGCAAAGGTGGGTCCGTCAGCCGTGTGCTGGTGGGATTTGGCCAGAGGAGGTCTCGCAGAGGTGTGTCTGTCGCAGCGGGAAGGACGCCGTGCATCATGCTAGTTCAGCGTTCGGCCGAAAGAAGCAAGAAGAACGATCTGCCCGAAATCCAGGAAATGCTCCCGAAAACTTTATAAAAACCTCTCCCACACACCTGTGGGAAGACAGACAAACATCAGCGAGACCCCTGCGAGACCTCAACAAGACCAGAGCCCTACCTCCGCGAGAGCCAGTGTATATCGCTGTTATTTGGAAAAATGGTGCTGCGCTTATTTGTCGTTGGGTGTTGACCAATTTGAACAAAGAATTGAGCAAAACGAAATGTGTAGCAAATGTAAAGTGCAACAACAGCAACAATACTATTTGCTCGTACTTGATATGTTTGCGTTTGTCTTTTGAAGAAACTCATGTTTCAAGAACACACGTCCTGCTGGTCGACGATCTTTTCGTGTACGACGTGCTGTCGTGTCAATGCCTATTGGCCTATTGTTTTGTATAAAATAACAATTTTACATGGTTAAAAACTAAAGTTGACCACTCGAATCACCAATCCAGCTTTTGCAAACAAACCGAGCCAAACAAACCCCAGAACCAACCCTCAACCCTGAACCCAACGCTGAACCCACCCTTTGAGCCACCCAAAAGCCACTCAATCCTACCCTAAACCAATACCGTAACCAGACAAAGCCAGCCTCAGTCCGGAAAGCGAGGCCCCCTAACCCTCCACACCCTACATTGAAAATCCTAAACCCACCCCTCAACCCAGCCCGAAGCCAATCCCAAACCCCATCAAGCCGTCCTTAAACCGCGTTAGATGCTTAAACAAATGAAGAAGCACATTTGACTTTGACCCCTAACTCGCACGAAGAAAGCCTCAATCGTCATTGGCGACCAGGCGCTGTCGAGGCGGGGTTGCTAGTGGATCCGAACATGACTTGATGTTCGCTTTGCCTCAGCAGGGATGGACTGCGTGGCGAGCTAGCAGGAAGGACCTATGAGTCTGCATGGGAGCCTCTCGGCATCCGTGTGGGAACACGTGGGTGTTGGGAACTCCACGCGGGTCAGGGTCCAAGCCCCTGTACCAGAGGCAGCTCACACAAGACCAGAACTTGGAAGCGCGTCACCTTTCTTGGCAAGAGAGAGACAAGAGAGAGACAAGAATCTGGTTCAGAACCTGGACGTGTTGTAGAAGTCTACGAAGGGCCAGTTTGCATGTTCAACTATATCTTGTCGAAGTCGGTCCCCCTCCCATTATTGGCAGTCGAGTAAGTTTGAACGGAGCTGAGTAATTTGCGGATTTGAATAAATTGAATGGATGTGAGTTTGGACGTGACCGTGGTAATTGGGGTAGCCGGGCCGCCTTCGACCTATCCTAAGCCCACCCCAACACCTGGCTAAACCTGCCCTCACCCATGCTAATTAAACCCTAAGCCCACCGTCAACTCACCCTGACCTCACCCAAACCTACCTTAACCTTCTTGAACCTTGAACGAACCTCCAACTAAGCCAAACGCACGAATCGCCACCTTCACGAGAATGTTTCGCGGGCGCTTTAGTGACAGGACAGGAGAATGCAAGCAGCCACTGAAAGAGCCATTTAAGGTGCTGTGTTTGCAGGGTTTGGAGCGGCTTACACTTGGTTGAGGGTGGGTTCAGATGGGGTTTGGGCTGGTAGGGTTGGATGATCTCAGGTCACAAGTGGTTTAGCGCAGGTTTATGTCGGACCCAAACCAACCCTAAAACACCCACCCTCAAACTTGCCACCCCAAACCCATACTGATGCCCAAGCCTAGCCCAAACCTACTTTCTAAACAAAGACTATAATGACCAGAAAAAGCTCACGCTCAGGCTGAGCGTTCTGAACCGCTTCCCAACCAGGGCGCAATTCTTTGGATTTGCTTGGGATTGTGTTTCACTTTTTTTAGGGGGAGCGCCGCTGGCCGCGTTAAGGAACCGCAATGTCTGGGAATCAAGGAAGGGCTAGATAGAGTGAGAGCCACAGCCAGAGAGCCATAGAAGGGGCCAAGCGAGGATTTGACCGGATTCTAGGACCGATTTTTAGACTGGTTTCTAGACGGGGGTTTGATGTGTTTCGGGTTCCCAATTAGAATTCGCAACCGAATACCAGGTATGCTCCAGCAAAGCTGGATGGTGGACTTTTTTTAACGCTTATAGGGGATGAACTTCTTCCTCTTCTCTAAGCATCGCGCGTCTTTTCTTCTCTTTCTCTTCATTTCCTCTTTTGTCTTCTTCTTCTTCTTCTTTCTCTTTCTCTTTCTCTTGCCACAAAGTGTGCACCTCAGGTTGCCAAAGGGCTGCGCCTGCCTCGCAACTCAATCCTCGCGAAACCTTGCGCGGCCGTGCCAATTCAATTCACACATGGATTCAATTTTACACCCCCACCCCACCAACCATAGGTGTCCTTTTTGGTTGTTTTGGTAGAAAAATAGATGGCCCTGGTTTACCTGGTTTAGTCATCTACCAGGGCCATCTATTTGGCCTAGAAGACACCTATGGTCACGCCCCAACCCCAGCAACGCTCTTCGCGCGGAGACTTTTTTCGAGGAGCTCGCCATGGTCCTCTGGGCCTTCGCCAAGGCGGAAAGCGCCGGCGAGGTCGGCGATTCGTTCGCGGCCTCGGTGCGGCGGAGGGAGCTCATGCCCCAGGCGAGGGTGGGCCCAATATAGGTTGGGAACGGGGGAATCTCACTTCCTGAGCTCATGAACTTTAAACTTTTTGGGAAGACCATTCTAGTGGTAAATATAAAGTGTGGATTTTTTTGGGCCATCCACTCAGCCAGTGAGGAATTAACTTAGGGGTCCCCTGAAAGGACATGACCAGGGGTGGCTTGTATGGGTTCCCTCCTTCCCTGAGTACCGGAGTTGTTTGTCGTCCTTGCGGGGGGGGGCATGGAGCTTCCTGGCGAAACATTCTTTAGCTTCACCACTCACAGGGGGTTGCCTTCAACTTGGGCGTCTCAGAGCTTGGTGGTTCCCAGCCGTCTGGATGCTTAGGTTTTCGGTTTCAGTTGGTTTGTTGGTTTGTTGGTTGGGTTTCCATTTAGCCGACTAAAATTATTCACTTTTAGCGTCGGATCAGAAAACCCACAGCCCAAATAGGAAAAAGGAAGCGTTGCCTTCTGGTTTCCCGTTAAGATGCCACCCGCGCCACGACATGAAACCATTGCAATCATGGCGTCGGTTGGTAGGAACCGGCTCACGCGCCAGGGTTGCTGAAAGGTGTGGTGGTGGGTGGGTTTCGCAACCATCCGCAGAAGAAGACACCTTTGAGGATGGGTTTCAGAAAGGAAGCCACGCGCCTTGAGATGTGGTATGTCAAAGGGGACGAGTCTCAGAGATCGCGGCTTCCGTTTGGCTGCCCTCGGCCAAAAAGGGCACTGGGCATCAACGTCCTAATATTGTGGATGGACCAAATTCAGTTCGCACCCCTTTTTGAAACCATGGTTGAAACCATTGTTTGTTGGTATTTATAAGGGAATCAAGTCATTCCAGGTTTTCTTGTTCGGCGCAGGATTTTGTCCATCCAGAGTAGGGGCCTTCAAACAATCTAGAGGTTCTTGACAGTGTGGATGTTGGCTTTTTTGGAGAATCCTCTGTTAGCTGGTTTTTCAGGGAAGTCGAAAAATGAACCATTTTGGGGTCTTCTTTTGAGACAATTTGGTGGTCCTGTTTGTTTCCCTATTGTCCATGGTGAAAAAAGGGTAGCCTTCGCCTCCAAAACCAACCGGTTTCATGGTTATGGAAAGGCTTGTGTCCTTAGTTGGTAGACTCCAAGTCAGTAAGCTCGGGTGAGACAGGCGCTGCTTCATGGCTTAGGTCTTTTTGGAGAGCCCCAAAATTGCGACCAATTCGTAGTTGTCCTTTTTCCGTTTGAAAGCCACAAATAAAAGGATCTTGAAAAGCATAGACATACTGCGGATGGACGACCACGATTGCCCCTGCGCATACCAACAAGCAATCATGGTTTCAAAGTGCTTCGATTTCGTCCATCCAGAGTATGATAGTATGGGGGGGGGGGGTATGTGCCCAAATAAGGAGCCCCTGCCTCCCCCCAAAAAAATAAATGTACTCCCTGGGGATGACATGGGAGTTTTATATTGACCGTGACCGGTGGCCGGATCTAAACCACTAGAAAAAAAGACAAACACGTGACCCACAAAGGGCAGCAAGTCCTGACTCATGGGGCTGCAGATGTCGCCTCACGCATTGCCTGATTCTCCGTGTTGGACGCCAGACCGAAAAAACGAGTACTCACAGAATTCTGTTCTTGCATTCTGAGTCAGCACAAAGACTGACTCGATTTTGAGGGAAAGAAAACCGCTTCAAATCCCGTGTGTTTGTTTTTCTTGAGGGCTTCAACTCTATACATATTCGTAAGAAACGATTTCATGTGTGGATTTATCTCGTTTAGAATGTACAAACATGGACGTGGGGTTTCGTTACATCTCCATGTTTTCGGACGGAGCTGTCCATTGTGGCCTTCGCCCGCAAAGCGCCGAGCGCATGAATTGGGAGCATTTTGCGGATGTCTTTGAGGGAAGACACAGTCAGAGACCTCCCAGCCAAAAAACTGTGGAGGTTCCTTTTGCTTTTGTTTGAAACCCAGCCCAACAAGGGTAGCCACAAAAACAAGCCCGTATACCCCGTTTTGTGAGGAGTACATAAGGCTACTCCGCCGCAAATGAAATGGAATCCAAACCAAAAAGGAGTGTCCTCTACGAACCATGGCTTTTTGGGTTCCACGTTAGTTCGCAGGAGCGCATTGCAGACCCCCTCCGCATCTGAAGCATAAAGCAACTTTCTCTTCTTTTTCTCTTTTTTCTCTTTTTTTTTTTTTTTAATTAACAACAACAGCACACATCTAAACCTAATTGATTAAGTCGCATTTGGGTCTTCCAAAAAAACGCGCGCCACCCATTTGACTCCCGCTCGGAGTCTCGGAGGACCTGGCGGTGCTTTGCTGGTGCTTCGCCCACTTCGCGGAGGGCTCTCCGGTGCTGGACGCCTTGTCCTGGCAGGCGAACCGACTCGGATCGCTCCCTCGGAGGGGGAGGGGCAGTTCCATAGGTGGAACAATAGAGGGCGATTCCTGGTGTACCTGGTGGTTTTTTCCCATCTACCAGGGAAACCCATCTATGTCCCCTAAAAGGACAGCTATGGGCACTTTTCCCAGTTCAACGGAAAGGCGGAAGAAAATGGGGGGGGAGTTGGAGAAGGGTGGTGGTTCGAGGCGCGGTTCGTTTGAAATCAGAATTCGGCTCGCAACTGCTTTTTTCTTGGCAAAGTGGACAGGCATGCTTTGGACGACCTGTACATTTTGATCGGGAACCTCCAAAGTCATTGGTGGACATGAATTCCGACCTAAATGGTGTCCACCAAAAAGTACCCCATAAAAAAAAGATCATTGTTTCCAAGTTGTTTCCAAGCAAAATGAGTTCGATTCGTGATGGATGAGTTCGACCCACAGACTGGGGATTTGTTCCTGAACTTTCGTAAAAGGTGGAGGCAAGCCCACGATTCGGGGACACAGAAGGGGTGAATTTCGGTGAGAAGCAAGATCTAGCTTTTTGATTTCTGGAACCTCCAACAGCGATTGACAAATGGTGGTTTCCGAAACACCCATTTCCTATGAGAAGACCTTCTGGATGGAAAATACGGCAGTTTGGGAAACCATCATTTGTGCGTGGTTCAGGTTCCAGGTTTGTCGGATTCTCCTTGACGTTTTGATACCCTCCTGTCCTCGCTGCCACGGAACTCTCTGCCAGAGGCTCAGTCTCGATAAGAAATGGTCTTGGGCCTTTTTGTGAGGTTACGGCTGTTGGTGGATAAAGTATCCCCGAATTTCATGGTTTACGTAAGGAATTTCATCATCCGAATTGGGGCAACCATTCTTTTAATAGGGGCAAGGAACCCCGCAAATA